GCTTGGGGGGTAATCCTGGGTGGTCGGGGGGCATGGGCGCACCCGAGAGGGTACGCCCCGAGCGTCCTTGACTTACTGGCCAGTTGACTGTTTACCACCCGGGGGACCCCCGAAGGCCCCGAACGTTAGGCGCCATGACCCCTAGAGAATTAGGTGTTGAGCCCCGGGGGCCCGGGGGTGGCCATGCCTAAATCCGAAGTCACGTGAATTTACGTCGAAAACGACTAAGTCCGCAGAAAAACACAAAAAGTTTTGGAAAAGTGGCCCACTTTGTATGGGAAAAAAGGGTGGCACGGACCATGTCCTAGTAATAAAGTGCCCCAGGATCCAAAACTGGCACCGTTTACTGTTGCATGGATTTTTATCACCCAAATGGGGTCGGTGAGTATGTGTAGAGACGAGGAGAAATCCTCTCTCCGCATCTTCCATACCAGGTTGGTTCCTTTCTTGGTGGTGAAGGTTGTTGCGTTCGGCGCACCCATCACCGCTGGGAGACACCACCCGCCGCATCGGTGCTTCCCCGGGCCCCCCAACCTCTACGTTGGACCCCGGTGGCTGCCCCGACGCGGTGCCCGAAGCCCGGGGGCTTACGTCCCCGGCACTGCTGGAGTCTGTGGATCACTGGTCGCTGACCATACCTGAAACTCAGATTCCTGGAGGGAGCCGCCCCGCGGAATCCGCCGTTCGTCGGCGTTGTCCACGGGGTCTGGACCCTTCACCCGAGGGCCGTATGCCGCAGCCAGCCAGCGCCCGCAAGGGCGTCTAGTTGACCTGCGTGCGGACCGGTGCTGAGGGGCTTAGTGGGGGCAATTGGATAATCGCTAGTGTCCCCCCGGTACGCCGGGGGTGCCGCTGCGGTTGAACGTCTCGTACGTTCCAGCCTTGTATAACGCACCACGTCTTCGGACGTTCAGGTGCCCGGGACCGACCGCCGCGAGGCGAGCGGACCCCGGGCACCCGGCCACGTTAGATACCTGGTTGATTCTGCCAGTAGTCATATGCTTGTCTCAAAGATTAAGCCATGCATG